GGTTATCAACCTGCAATATGCAGATGAAACAACCTTGCTTGCCGAAAGTGAGGAGGACTTGAAGAACTTGCTGATGAAGATCAAGAATTGTAGCCTTCAGTGTGGATGACAACTCAATGTAACGAAGACCAAAATCCTCACAACTGGACCAATAGGTAACATCATGATAAATGGAGAAAAGGTAGAAGTTGTCAAGGATTTCACCTTGTTTGGATCCACAATCAATGTTCATGGAAGCAGCTTTCAAGAGACCAAATGATACATTGCATTGGGCAGATCTGTTTGACAAGATCTCTTTAAAGTGTTGAAAAGCAAGGATGTCACTTTGAGCACTAAGGAGCATTTGTCCTACATCATGATATTTTCCATCACCTCATATGTATGTGAAATTTAGACATTGGATAGGAAGACCGAAGAAGAATCGATGCATTTGAATTATTCCGTGGGACTGTCAAAAGGACAAATGAATCTGTCTTGGAAGAAGTATAGCCAGAGTGCTCCTTAGAGGCAAGGATGGTGAGACTTCTGTCCCATATACTTTGGACATGTCCAGAGAGTCCAGTCCCTGGAAAAGGGCAACTTAGTTGGTAAAGTAGAAGGCAGGGACAAAGGAAGACCCTCGTTGAGATAGATTGAAACAGTGGTTGCAACAATGGGCTCCCCACCAGAACAATTGTTAGGATGGTCGAGTGGTGTTTCGTTCTGTTGTACTTAAGACCCTCATGAGTTTAGACCAATCAGAGGCCACCTTTAACAACAGCAACAACAATGGCCCAGCTTTGGTCCCAGTTTGGGTTTCCCTTCCCCTGCCACACCCCACCTTCCAAACTCTCTACCTAAAACCATGGTCGTACTGAATTCACTCCCCAAACAAGCACCTGGGTGCTTCATGGAAAGCCCAGCATCGGGACTGGGGGTCAGCACTTTGTACTAATTGAGAATGACAAGCCACTGCCAAAGCTTGTCTAACCCCTTTTCATTTTGCACCTGACCAGCTTCTCATTCCAGTAGGGAGAGCTCCCTGTGCTCTGCTGGAGCAGATTTAAGATTTAGGTTTAAGTTGCCTATCCACTGTCATGCCTGCTAACGGCCCTTGCAGGTCAGCAGCACTTGAACTTCTTCAGGAAGTGTTAGTCTATCTGGAAATAGTTCACTCTTCTCTTTAATGCAGGAATTAACGGAGGGACAGAGTAGGGGAGCTACAGGGCAAAGGGTGACTTGCCAACCGAGTTGCCAACTACTGGGAGAGCTTGTGGAGCCCTGGTGGTGTAGGGGTTATATGTTGGATTGGGTTGCTCACCAAAAGGTCCGACGTTCGAAACCACCAGCTGTTCCACGTAGAAAGGCAAGGCTTTCTACTCCCATAAAGAGTTGCAGCCTTGGAAATGCACACTGACGGTTCTACTCTGTCCTCTAGGGTTGCTATGAGTTGGAATTGACTGGATGGCAGTGAGTTTGGATGTGGGGTTTGGAGAGCTGTGTTCTCCCAGAAGACCACACACAGATGGCATTGTCTCGGCCGCAGCAATGGTTTCCGCAAAGCAAGATGGACTCAGGCTTGCAGCCCAGCTGTGGGCTTCCTTCCCCTCTCTCAGCTCAAGCGGATTTTGGTTCGTGGTGAAATTCCTGTGCCCCATGGAGGTTTTTAATGGCTGGGAAGTTTTGGCAGTTGATTGCCAAGCATCCTCCCCTCCCTGTTCAAGGCATGCTAAAGAGTTTCTAAGAGCAGAAGCAAAGTTTAAATAATACTAGAAGTTTATTGGTTATTGTACAATTTGAAAATCTGACATCACACAGCACTGGGACTGAGAATTGCTAGAACATGGGGGCAGGCGTTGAGGTTTTTTCAGTCCAGGGAACAAAACAGTCCAAGAAGTTCATGACATTTTGATCCATCCTCAGATTTCTGTCAGAACATCCCGAAGGTCTTTTCCCTTTGGGAAATGTCAGTTTCTCTAAGGAGACAGATGTGTCAGGTTTCCGGTGTCTAGGCTCCCATTTCGGGAACCTTGGATAGATTCTCAGAAGGCACCTGTCCCGGGACAAGAGCATCCCGCTGATACAGTAGATCCGTGAAAAAGGGAGAGTGCCCTCCACCGATGGCTTGACTCCCTAGCTGCAAAAACGGGCTCAAATATGACAAGTTTGACGCCACAGGTCCGAGCGTTGTTTTGCTTCATTGTACACAGGGTTGCCATGAGGAGAAGCTGAGTCTAAAGCACTTCATAACAACAGTAACAACAAGGTCAGCAGTTCAAAACTGCCACTTCTTGGAGAAGGAAGAGACTGTCTACTCCCATAAAGAGTCTGCGTCTCAGAAACACACAGGGGTTGTTCTCTCTACCCTGGGCTTACGGGGTGGCAGTAAGTATCTTGAGGGCCTAAAGACACAAGATGTTCATTAGACAGACATTTAAAGAAGCAAGCTAGCTAGCTTCTCTAATAAAAGCCAGGTTACTTATTGTGTTACACGTTTGCTGGGTGAGCCTTGTTCTCTGGGCTTGGCACAAATGACTCCAACCGGCTTTGTGGTCTTCACAGCCACAGGCACTCCAAGTGCATTCTGACCACTGACCTTTTGGCTATTAGTTGAGCCCTGAAACATTAGTGCCACCCAAGTGTCAGGGACAGAACGGGGCCTTCTGTCCTGCCGCTATGAACAATGCTCATAGACTTGGTAAATACCTTCACCTTGAAGCCAGGCCCTGGTGAACATGACACAAAGAGATAAATCCTTTGTGTACCTGGAGATAAATCCAAAAGCATGCCGACCTAGAGCCAGAGATGAGATAAACTTCAGAGACTCAAGAATGGTAACTCATTAGAAAGTTGCTTAACCCTCTGCAACCATTTCCCCTTTGAAAATGTCATGAAAAAACCAGAAGTGTTCCCCTAGACAACACCCCTTCTCAACTCCAGACAAGTGGACCCGCTTCAATCCCTGCGTGAAGTGTATATTCAGTATGCTTAAGGCGTCCTTCTCAAATCCAGAGAGGATGCGCCCCACCCCCTTCATGTCTTTTGAAATGTTTTTATGCTTTAATAAAACTATGGCTTAACTCTTTGCAGTTTGGGGCCCGAAAATCTGTATTTCCCGTGATAACCTGTGTTTGGCTGCCACAAAGTGCTGGCCAAGGCTGACCAGGGCCTCCAGCTCCCAGCACCCTGCGTCCTGCAGCGCGCACAGGAACAGCTAAGTTTCGTTTTCCTGCGGCTCTGACAGTGACTTTCATTTCCCCGCCTCTGGGGGCGGCGCCAGGCAGCGCTTAAAGGGCGAGCCCTCAGCCTGCCGCGCCGGGGCGTCCATTGCGCGGAGACCGGTGAGTGTCCCTCTCTGGCCCGCGCAGAGCTACAGCCTGGGGATGGGTACCGCGGGGAGGTGCGCTCAGCTGCCAGCTTGAGAAGCCGAGAGCTCTGGAGTGCGGGCATTGCTGGGAGGGAGTAATTAAAAACAACATCAAACTTACTGCCACCGAGTCATGTCGACTTATAGCGACCCTATAGGAGCGGACACAACTGTCCCCAGCAGGTTTCCGGGACTGTTGTAACTCTTTAAGAGAGGAGAAAGCCTCCTCTTTCTCGGGGTG